CCTATATATTCTGAAATTCCCAGTCTGATTGATACAGATTTGCCTGAAACTCTTTATTCTTCCCCTCAGTATCACATTCCTGACGCAAAGGAATGAGAGCTCCCAGCGGTTAAGTGTTTTTTCAACTCCCTGACTTTTCCTTAAGGTAATCAAGATTACAAAACTTGCAACATCATGAAGTAAGTGTTCAAAGCAAACCTCAAACCCCAAATGAACCGGCATTCTCTGGCTGTTAACTCTAGAGGAATATTCCCTCTCCCCGCCCCCTTTCTTCTGTATGCTCTGCTTGGGAACTTCTGCATTCGTTTCACCTGCTTAAATTGTACAGTAGTGCCTCAAGCACAGAATGTCCTACAAAGAGAAGTATATTGGTGCCATCTCTAACAGGACTCTATTCTTAAGAGAATAGAGCTTTAAAAAAAAACTGGTTTAGGTTGGATTCCTATGATAGCTGTGGTCCTGGAAGATCTCAGGTCCATCACTCTGAGAGTTGGAGAGAGATCTGGCTTTATCTGTCCTCTTGAGGTTCTCCCCCCAAAACTTCCATGGACCTTCTCGCTTCAAGAGCCAGAAAAGATCAGAGAGGGTGGAACAGGGTGATATTTTGATCAGATCAGGAGAAGACTTCACCCAGTCACTTCATAGGGTCTCAACCACAGAGGACATAATTCTCTTCTCAAATAGAGGGAGGGGATTAAAAACAAATCTTGGAAGAGGAATTAACATACTGCCTTGAGCTCAGAGGAAGACTTGGAATCCTTAGTTCTTGAATCTTCTGCTTACCCTTATAGCTTTGTGCCCTAACTTCCTTGCACAAACTTATTACAGTACTTTTATTGTATTGGATTTTGTTTTTAAATTCAGTGACAACTGCTGGGTGCAGATTTTCCACTGAATTGTCTTTACTTGGTTTAATTTCATAGGAAGAAATGCAAAACTTTTTCTTAGTTTCTGGATATATTTTCTGATTTTTAAAAAATATATACATGTTTTAGAAACTTAAGAATAGGTATGAATTATTACTATTACTATTACTATTATTGTTGGAAAATATTTTGGCAGCTTTTGAAAACTATTGGCTAGGGAACCTTAAACTCCAGTTTAACATTGCCATCTACTGGGGAAAATAAGGAATTTTAGTAAGAGGTTTGAGCTGTCCTGTAATGGATGTTCATGTTTTCCTCCCTGCATAAATACTTAAAGTTCTCTTTTATCTCTCCTCTCGTCCAAAAAGTTCTAGCAAATCTTAAAGGTGAAATAATTATATGATGTGCTTTTCTAAGTACGTTTTATTTTACAAATAATCAACTAAGCTGTTAGGATATTTTCTAATATCCCAAACAAACAGGCTCTGCAGCTTGCTCAAAGCAAATATCCCTTAAGATATTATGCATCTCTTTAAAATAGTTTAAATATTAAATGCACCCCATTTTTCCTTTTTCTGCTGTTCTGGGTTGCTGCAATGCTGCAAGGGGAATATTGCATGAGTTTGTTATTCCATGAGCTATTTATAACAGAGCAGAATTACAGTTAGTGGGACAGTGAGGACCCTCCCACTAACTCTGGAGGGAGAGCTAGAAGGTCTTCTGATGTTGGCTTCTGTGGGAGGAGATAGCTCTCTTCCCATCTTGAAATGTCAAACTACAAAGGGAGCTCATAGAAATAAAACTCAAGAAGATAATAATACAGGAGAGACATGTTAGACTTCATCTTGGTTGTGAATATAGATGGGCCTCCTGAGAAATCTCACCCCCTTTTTTCCACCAGTGCCTGGATGAGTTAGATGCCTCTCCTGGCTGCAGAAGGATCTCCACAACAAGCCCAGTGAACCTTCTCTGTTGTCTCTGTTGCTGCTTTCACCCTTTAGAACAGTGTTTCTCAACCTTGGCAACTTTAAGATGCACAGACTTCAACTCCCAGAATTCCCTAGCCAGCCATGCTGGCTGAGGAATTCTGGGAGTTGAAGTCCACGCATGCTAAAGTGGCCAAGGTTGAGGAACACTGCTTTAGAACAACATCCCCTCCCACCTAAGATTTGGCTACCCTGCCTGCTTCTCAAAAGGCATTAGAGACCTGGTTCTTTCCCCAGGCATTAGGTCAAGGAATGGTGTGTGTTGCTTCTTTGGACTGCATTTTTAATATTTTATTATGCGGCTTTTATTGATTCTTCTGTTACTGATGATGTATGCTGCCCCGAGTCTTGTGCTGAGTAGGGCAGCTATGTAAATTGACTGATTAAATACATATATAGTTTTCTTACAGCTGATCCAGGGGATTCTGAAGTGAGACCTAGCACTGCTGTTCCTGAGAGACTCTGTTTCCAGGGTGCCCCTAATCCTTGTTGTGAACTATTTTCTGTAGGACCCTTCTGCCAAAGAATGCTTTGGCCAAGGCATTGATCTTAAATGTTTTTGTAAAGGAGGACATGGAGAACCATGTAGCAACCTGATGGTGGTCTCATGACACAACTCTTGATGTACTCCTAGTGTTCTATGAGAACATTGAGCTGATTAGGCACTCCATAGCTTTTCCTTAGGACTTCTGAGGAACAGAAGGTAACAGGGACTTTGAGGAGTGGGGAGGGGATAGTACTTGGTGAAACCAGTGTAGAAACGGGAAACTGGAACTGCCTTTACATTGGCAAAGGAAGGTGGAGGAATCAGGCACCTTGTTCTGTCACTTTCTACTCCCTCTGGTGTTCAGGCCATCTGGATCCCTGAAGCTGTGGTTGCAAGTTTTCTATTGGTCGAAAGAGGGCATGTGGTTCACAGCTGGTCACCTGGGAGCCACTGTGTTGCCCATGACAAATTGGAATTGAATTGTCCTGCGAGGAGACACTGTATGATGCTGTGCAATTGGAGGCCAACTCCCTCCTTCACCTCCATCACTGAAAAACTCCCAGGAACCACCAATCCCTTGCTGTCATTAGTTTGCTGGCTGAAGCTCATAAACATGAAGGCAAAAACTAAGAAATAGTAAATAATAAAGTGAAGTGTGTGATCAAGATGGTCCTGGTTAACAATGGTGAGAAGAGTTTGTGTGTGTTTATATTCTCTGGAGAAAATGATACTAAGCAAAAAAAAATAATTGTTTTTTAATTTTATTTATAAGGCTTCCCAATGCAAAATTTATTCTGGGCATACAGATTAAAAAAAGATTCAATACCTAAAAAGGTAAACAGAAATGAACATGGTATACACATCAAGACCTATCCCAGAGCTTGGGGGAAGAACATGTTTTCAGAGATCATTTAAAAGCTTGCAGAATCAGGGCAGTCTGAACCCTTGGAGATATCCTGTTCCAGAGGGCAGGGGCCACAGCAGAGAAGGCATGCCTCCTAAGTCCATCAAATGTCATTACTTAATATTGGGGATCCTAAAGGGAAGACCTGTAACTACTAGAGGCCAATTGATTAATAAAGCTCCATCAAGCAATGTTAACTCTTAGTGACTACATAGACAGACCTTATCCAGGTTGATCTGTCCCCAACCTGGCCCTTCAGGTCTTCCAAATGTGTACCCATCACTGCTGTAATTAAGTCTATCCACCTTGCTTAATCTGAAGCCTGGTTATTTGTGCCCTGAGTGAGAACTCCAGATTGCTTTATGATCCCTTTGTTTGTTTTCTTGGCTATCCATGGTATTCTCAGGAGTTTTCTCCAAAACCAAAGTTCAAAGTTCTATCCTGCTTCTTCAAAGTCCAACTTTCACATCCACAGAGTGTCCCAGGCTTGCTAAAACCATTCCTAAGGCTGGTTGTTGTACTTATCATGAGTTTGGTCATCTTTATATTTAATCTTAGCCCCATTTTTTTTCCACTGTGCTCTAGAGTTTGCTAGAGGACATTTCCTGCCTCATTCAAGATGAATCTGGAACAGGGGCTTATCAGCAAAAGTCCAAAGGTACTTGCTTCTTTGAGATACTAATGACCGTTCACCAAGTTGGGTAGTCACTAATGTTAACTGCACCAAAAGACTGGAGTAGCGTTCCCACATGTGGAGACATCTCTATTCATTGCAATGACAGAAGTTGGTATTTTCTAGGCAGCAAGGATCATATAATTTCTCACCAATGAATACTATTGCTCTACGTAATCTTGTCTGCTGTGATAAAAATGTTTCTTTTCATAGGTGTCTGTTCTTAATCATGATACCAAAATGGCAAAACATGCATTGTGATGTCACCAAACTCCACCCTTTCATTGTGACATTACATGCAAGTCTGTAAGTAGCAGAGTTGTGTTGCAACATCAAGGCACACATTTTGTCACCTACCCTCCCACAGATGCCTGTGTTCCCTTCCCCACTGTCCATCTTGAAATCAGAGTACAAGGGTCAAGCAACAATTGAAAGTCAAATTTGTAACTAAACTTTGTTCTCATAACTCAATGCTCAAAGATGTTACCACATTATAGCATGTTTTACATTCTTCCTTGCTTCTTTAGAAACAAATACAGCAGTCAAAATGGAGTATGAATCTGAATACTGTACAATTTTCTCTTTAACAAGTGTACTAAATATCATTGTGCTAACTCTACATTCAATAGTTACTGTATATACCCCTAAAATTGACTACTAAAAAGAGTAGTTTACTGAAGATGTCACTGTGATTGGCACAAAATAACTACATATCCAGGTATGCCTATTTCAAAACCCTAGGCCAGAAACTTACTTTTATTATCATTTCAACAAATATTTTAATTTCTGAACTGTTTTTCTTCCAACATTACCTTGCTGGAAGGTAAGTAAAAATGACTGGAAGAAACAAGGATAGATACAAGCTATTGTATTGTATCAAATCAGAACTGAGTTTCATATATCTGTTTGCTGATGTTGCTTTTTTTTCTGTGTGTGCAATGGTTGTTTAAAACTCTGCTTACAAATATTATTCATATTCCAGTCCTTTTACAAACCAAAAATAGTCATTTGTTGATAAAACTGTAAATGGGGAGGGGGGGGAATGGACTGACTGCTTAAGACCACAAATACACTACAAACCATCACAATAATAATGTACTTTTATTTCAGTCAGATAAGTGAACCATTCTTTTTAATGCATTGAAGGTTTCAAGGTAAAGAAATCAAATATGTATTCCAAACAATCCAATTTATTACAGAATATTTGCTCAGTAAAACTATGTTGTCTCCTGATGGCCCCCTGTAGAATGTGACAGCAGAATAAAATATAGAGATTAATACAGTAAATAATACTGTACTGTGTTCATAATTTTAATACCACTAATAATTGGCTAATTTCAGTGTGACTTTTTAACTGTGGACAAAAAAAATGACACGTCTGACTTTTAAATATATCAAACTTGTAGTGTAACAAGTCTTCCAATTTGCATATTTATTTACCATAAAAATTACTGTCCTTCAAAGCTGACTTCTCACAAATGAAGATGAAATAAGCCTGTTTCTGGATTGTACAGTATATGATAGTGACTCACTTTTTTTTTCATTCAAAGAAAGTTACACACAGACAGTTTGAATAGGCAGTCCAGGGCATTTCATCCACTGTTCTGGATGAAAGATCATTCAGTTACACGACATGTTTTAATACCTCATCCAGAAGCATCCAATACAAGCTGTAATGACATCAAAAGGAAGACATATGGGTCATGAGGTCATTGTACCAATGAAGTGCTTATGCAATGACGACATGATGCATGTACATAAGTCACATTATTTGTGTGATGGCATCATCACAGATGTGTCATTTACCACCCCCCAAGACAACTCTGACCTCATCTAATGTTTCGGGGAAAGGCCTTTCTTTTGTTCAATAATCATATGTTCAGCTAAGAGAACTAGAAATGAGGATTTCCAAACAACAGTGAAGAAGTACTGAATAGATGAGTTTTCATAAGATGTGTAAATATAACCAAGAAAAATTGAGGTATTCTCTTTCTTTTCAGTAGATTGATAACGCATCTAAAAATACTACTTATTACTGCTGACATGGACAGCTAAACAAAGGTAGTTAATTTATGATGGAGATGAACATAGTTTAATAGAATGAAGGCAGCAAGATTCATTATTTTAGTGTTCACACTAAATGCCAGCTTTGCAGTTTCATTTGAAACCAACAGCGATCATGAAACGTCATGAAAGATTTAAAAAAAATCTCCTAGAGCGATTACTAAATGAATCATTATCACACTAGATCAGTAAACCCCAGAAGAAAATAATAATAACAACAACAATAATAATACCAGTGTCTCATAATTTAGGTCCTTTTCCTGCTCAGTGCCTATTTTTTAGATACAATCCATAAAAATTGGCCGCACTGCACATTTTGTTTATCTTAAAAATGTTGTATTCCCATAAAAATGCCTGGTACAAAGTCTGAAGTTAATGTCCATCCCTAAATTTAAAAGATCCGCTAAAATAAGTTTAAATTATTACAGTATTTACAAATCCAGCAGGTAGAACTTCCTCCATGGCTTCTTTCCCATCCTCCTAGCAGCTGTCATCCTTCAAGCAGCTTTGACGGGCTCTTAGCTTCTAGGAGCTTCCTCATTTATCATCAGTCATTTTGAGCAGCTCTAAAAGAGCTCCCACAGCACCAAAATAACCCTTCAAAATGATTAAGAGGAGGAGTTAGCAAAGTCAAATCCAAACTAAATTATTGCAATATTCAACCAATTTAACACATGGAGTATTTTTTTTAAGGCTAACATCCCAAAAGTAGAAATATCAGACTGATACTGTAAAAGAAAATACAGAAGTCACAACAGAAAGAATCAGCATTAGCCAGTGTCTATGCCTGCAACCACTTAGTAAATATTAGACGTGGCAACTAAGTATAAAGAACACAAAGGATTATTCTTAAAAATTCCCCTCTTGTTTTTAAACAAAATCCTGGTTGATCCATTAAAGATTAAATACTCACATTTCCAGCAAATTCGCCGCATGTGACATTTGCATACTCAATCCAAAACATGAGCACAAGCTTGTTCACAAGTTTAACATGTAGCAAAAAGTTCAGAAGGCCATTCTGTGGGTGTACGGAAGAACTCATCCTCTCCAAGGCTTAATGAAGCCACTTTGAGGTCTTCCCCGCATTGGCTGAGCATGTACAAAACACACTTCTGCCAAAACTACTACACAATGTCATCTGTGCATGGTTTTGCCCAGCTCTAGTACAGACTAGCTGCTGCATCTCTATGGTACCCGATATATCAATATTAAATGATTTCTAACAGATTTCAGATAACGAAGGGAAGATAGAAAATTAGAAACAGTCCTACACGTCCACTCAATAGTCCTGCAGAACTTGTTTTAAGACAAGCAGATTAATTGCAGCCTCATTATTGCTTTCTAATAGGAGCTTGCTTCTATAGTCTCTGCTGGGTCAAACAGTCTTTCTTCAGCAGAAGGATCCCAATTAGAACCTAATGTTCTTTCTTGCCAAATATTACTAGATGTCCCTGTAACTTTACTAAAACAGATGCCTTAAGTCTTTGAACAGATATTGATTTTGTTTCCCATCCATGATTTAGACTGGAGATTATCAGCAATGATAGCTTTGACAGGAATTCATTACCGTATTAACAAATGTAATGCCTTTTTTTCTTTTTGAAAAGTTTTTACCTCATGTTCCAAAAAGAGAGCTTTGAGTTGTCCCTTTGACCAATAGTCCATAGCATAGGCTAGCACCTTCATAGCAACCATGTTGATTCTCAGGAAGTTTCCTACAAACACCACTCGATCAATATTCTGTAAAAGTAAGTGAATTATGTGCAATTAAAAGGATTTTGTTTTCAACCTTAAGCATAGCAAATTCTTCAACAGTGCGTAAAGTTGCAACATTCCTTTGGTGTTTTGACAGTAGGACCTCAGATGGACAAACAGGATGAGCTTGTTTAGATGAAAAAACTAATCTTGGGTAACATTTTTCTGTAAACCAAGCAACATGAAAAAGAAATTTATACAGTTCTAATATTGTTGCTTTTCAGTTTATTGAAGACTCATTCTATTCATTGACACATAGCAAACACATAATCTTACATATTTCTCAATTAAAAAAAAAATTAGCCAGTCTCTATAGATTATGATAGTAATCTCTAGCACATCAATGAACCATGAAGAATAATTGTTCAGGACTAACAAGGCTTCTTTCTATACAAGCATGCATAGGGCTGACTATTTTTTCACTGATAAATGTTCTACTGATAGGTCATCTGGAAAAGATTCTGGGTCGGGCGCTTGCTCACTCGCTCGCTCTCTCTCTCTCTCTCCACTGTATATATCCAGTAAGTACTTAATTTTCATCCCTAAATATAACAGGTCATTTAAATAACACATGAGTAGTTTAGGGCATTCTAGAGAAATGTTTATAAAAACAGTGATTTTTTTAGCCATAGCTATGCTAAAGCACTGAATCAAATTCAATACACTATTCTTATATCTCTGCATTAATACATTTCTGCTATTGGAACACCCCAAGTGTTGAAAAAAGGTGATAAATATCATGTGAAGGTCCGAGTTTCACCAAGCCATAGAATCTCTGTGCAATTCATTGATACTGCATAGAGATAATTGTGTTCTCAACATGGACTGAGGGTTAGTATCAGATTAAAGTTAATTTTGTTGCTGGCAGTGTTGGTAATCACTGAAATGAATAGAAAATGTTTGATGGAAAGGAAGGAAAGGAATCTCCAGGCATGCACTGGAACTCCATTATACACCCTATCCCCACCACCACACACACACACACACACACACACAAAAACCCTATAACAGCCTTCTTCTAGGTGCCTTCCAGATGTGAAGACTCCAATTCTCCATATTCTCAGGAACGGCCATAGAGTTGAGGAATTCTGGAAGGGACATAGGTTGGGGAAGATTGCCTAGAAGTTAGTTCTACCACTGCTTATGGCAAGGATACGAACTTGTACCGCAAAAACTAGAGGAAAAGAAGGTAACTTCAGCACTGTTTTTGATTTACTCTTGTATATTTTACACATCAGAAATATGACATCTTTATTCTGTTCTGCCTCTATAATAAGGCTATTGTGAAATTCACCAACATTTGGAAGAATAATTAACTATCAATTGTGGTGAAAACCTTACTTTGATAATACTATTTCACCTTTAAAGAAGGTCACAAGCATCAGCTTCTTTTAGTAATCACTGCAAGTTATTTTTGCTTTGAGATGTTGGAGGTGTTATCATGACAAAGCTTAGTGTTAATCATGCATATTTTAAGCTTGTCTTTCTTGTCAACTAAGTGCATTCCCTGCAATCTGGTCTAATGTGTCCATGGCTCATGCTTTTAATTACTATAAAGACAGTAAAAATACCGTTTGAGAAACTTTCTTGAAATAAGAATGTTATTATTAATACTTCTGAACACTTTTAATACTATACACTAAAAGGAATGGGAAGATTAGAGTCACCACTTTTGGGCTAATGAGGGATTATTAAGTGGATTCATTATTTGGGTGCATTAGAAAAACAACAGCAACAGCATGCAAGACAGTGTCTTTGTGTTCAGACCCCAGTTAAAAGTTTTCTGAAGTGAAATAGAGGAAGTCCCCAGTTTAAGAACAAGTTCCATCCCAAGGTCTGTCCTTAGGTCAAATTTGTATGTAAGATGGAACAGTATTATTGTATAATACTGTATAAATTGTATTAGGTAATGAACTCGAACCATTGTGTATTTAACTCGAATTTTGCTACAGTAGGCTCTGTTCTTAACTATGGGTCATCCTTAAACCTGGCGTTTCGAACCATTGTGTATTTAACTCGAATTTTGCTACAGTAGGCTCTGTTCTTAACTATGGGTCATCCTTAAACCTGGCGTTTCGAACCATTGTGTATTTAACTCGAATTTTGCTACAGTAGGCTCTGTTCTTAACTATGGGTCATCCTTAAACCTGGCGTTCTTAACCTGGAGACTACCTGTAACTATGGAATTAAGATGTTCCACAGACTGGTTCTCACAATTGTCACAGTATGGATTCTAACTATGTATGGTAAGGCATAAGCTTAATTTAGATTTCTCCAAATTGTACTTTGGAAAATCAAAGAGCAAGTCACATGCTCATTTGCATTCTGCTCAGTTATTTCATACAGCTTCACTTTAGCACAAACCATCAAATCAAATCTTTATTACGGTCATAGACCAGCATAAGTGCAAACCATAGTCTGCCACAATTGCAAAATCAGCAAAATTCCATCTGTCCTACAAATCAAAACTAGAAACTGTTCTTTGAAAAGGCTCCTTATTAACCAACCTGGGTATCATATTAAACTTGCTAACAGTTTATTATGCAAACAGCTGCAAATTATTAGGCAAGAGCTCAAAGCCAGAATTAGAGGACTATGTTAAATGAGCAATAGTCTCGTGAATTCCAAACTTTTGCAAAAATTTGGTGGGATTCAAAGATCGCCAGAATGCGTATCTAAAATTGCAGTCAATTTCTGCTGATAGAACAGAAATTAGATAGTAACAGGAATATATAATTTGTCTGAAATATAGAGAATCCCTTTCACATATGTTCTCACAAGCCTTCGTAACAATAATCTAAACAGGTCACCTTAAGAGTTCTCACTAGGTCTCTTTATATTAAATGAAAGCTGTGTTGCTTACTGCAGTTAACTCTCTATGCTTTGATAGCCCTGTACAATGCTGCTTGAACTCCATGCCACAAGGCAACACTGTAAAGAAGCTGAAAGCAAAGAGGAAGATCAGGACCACTTATTATTGCAGAGGCTTCCACTGATATTCCTATGTAAAATATTCAGGAATATTAAAGGTTTACAGTCACCAGTACATAGAAGCAACTGAAACAGGTCCTCGGTTTGATATACTTCTCGTCATATATTCCCTTACTATCTTTGACCTGAAAAATTGCAAAGAGAGGCAATAGATCGTACCTGCATGCTACTAGGTGTTATCAGTGGGCAGTAGGATAAGTTGCTATTATACGTAAGATCTACTTCCGGCTTAACAATAATTGCCTGGGATAGGTTATGCCAATAGCAGTTTGCTTGAAAAATTATTGAGCATTATAGTTGAATCTGAGTCTGATCTTTCACATCTAAGTTCAACATTCTAGTAACAGTACCACACTGATATCAACTTATAGGTGCTCGTGATATCTCTGAGGAGGAAGCCAAGCTCCAACCTCTCCTCTCCTGCAGACAACATTGGGCTCCTGGGGACAAGTCCCCTCCAGGCACCAGGAGCAGTGAAAACCTGTTCTGAGCTGCTCCTCACTAAGGAAGATCTGGGGGCTTGGGATGATGGAAGGAAGCCTCAGCTGATGAAGGTTCCCAATCATTGATGTAGGGTTAACCACACATACCTTTAAAGTACCTTGATGTAGTCTCGATCAAATCAAGTTATCACTTGTATAAACAGATATTCTTATGGCTTTACCTTAAAAAGGTTGTATAGTTTTCTCTACTACAGCTGAAGTATAAGTTAGAAGGTATATAGCTCTTTTTAATTGTTGTTATGGTGGTGCCACTAAAGCAAACATTCCAAAATGTAGATAGGAAAGAATTCAGCCCATTGGACCAAACAACATACACAAGTCATACCAACTATGCTTCCTCAATAACAATGACCCTCCCATTGAGTAAATGTGGTCCACGTGCTTTCAGTGTAAATGTTGGAGGCTTCAAACAAAAGAGCACATCTAAAAGGTAAATCTTGAGCAAATACAGAATTCCACTTACAGTCCCAAACTATTAGAAGCCTCAGCAACAGTGATCATCCTACTTAGTGAAGTTCTGAACAACTTAGTGAAGACACACTATCTAGAAAAGTTTATCATTTCAGTCTCTTTTTTTAAAAAAGAAAAACTGCAGGATCAGTTCATATTGTATGAATACATATAGTATATAGTATAACATGCTTTAAAGGGTTGTTCAGTATTTTCATTGGTGGGAGAAGGTATATCAATCAAAGATCCAAATCCCTGTAGTAACCAAAAAATAGTTTTGAAAGCTTGCTAATAAACATGGTCTCACCTCATTCAAGGCGCACATCCGAGCAATCGAGCCAATGTTATTGGTGATGGTGACTAAAGTTGCTCTTGCCAGGTCCTCTTTACTGATAGTCTCTCTCTTTTCTTTGCTCATCATGTTGCCGAAACTGTGTGATAATACTAGAGGATGTGATCTTTCTTATATTTTTCAGAAAGGCCAAGGTTTCTAAAAATATGTTTTAAAGAGTTTGTCTGGGATATATAGATATATCTAAGTAATTCATTCAGGAAACAAAACACATGCTCACGTACAAATATATGATCAATTCCAACTACAGGTAGTCCTCACTTACTGACCGCAATTGGGACCGTCAACTCCCTTGCTACACAACATGGTTGAATAGTGAAATGTCACGTGACTGCGCCTGACTTACGACATCAGTTCATCCATTCTGGTTGCAGTCACTAAGCAAATTGCTGCAGGTTGTTAAGTGCAACATCACATGACCACAAATTGTGGCTTCCTGCCAGCTTCCCCATGGACTTTGCTTGTCGGAAGCTGGCTGTGAAAGCCATAAATGCCGATGATGTGACTGCAGGATGCTACAACTGTTGTAAATGTGTGCTGGTTGCCAAGCACCTGAATCATGATCACGCGACTGTGGGGATGCTGCAATGGCTACAACTTTGAGGACCGGTTATAAGTCTTTTTCAGCACCGTCATAACTTCAAATAGTCACTGAATGAGCAGTCCGTGAGGACTACCTGTATTATTTGGAGTAAACTAGCATTACTTCCTTACAACTTTTATATTCCAATTGAAAAAAAACCCCTCTTTTTCTCAGCCAAAAGGAGTTTGATAGAAGCAGATAGTTAAAATATTGGATATTACAACCCTGGGACTGCAATGTGGTACCTGGGACGCTGATGTGACTATAGAGATCCTTGGCACCCACCAGGTTCCCTACCCCACAACTGAGCTTTACTGATTTTAAAAGTGTGTGGTGTCACACACACATACTCTCGCTCATATATCTATCTTGATTATATGCCATCAAGTTGTTTTCAACTCCTAGCGGCCACATAGATAGATTTTGTTCATGAAGATCTATCCCTAACCTGTTCTTTCAGGATTCTTCTATCTCTATCCCTATACAGTGGAACCTCGGGTTACGAACGTTTCACAAACTTTTCGGGTGATGACCAGCTCCAGCCACAAAATTTTGCCTCCGTTCATGAACGCCGGATCGGGTGACGAACAGGATCCGCGGCCATTTTCCCTCCCGTGACACGTGGT